CTTCTGGAATTGACGTCGTCTGGGTCTAACCCTCCAGGTAAAATTGAATCTTAGATACAGATATGCGCTCAGTGGTAAAATCTACATCGGGATGAGCTGTTTCTAATAAAGTGTAAAAATGTGGTGGAATATGTTCACAGAAAAAAAAACTGATATAGTTACTCTGGATTATTGCGGCCCCAAGTTGGCTGCCATCGTTTGATAGATTTATGGGAACAACGTGCTAGTTGGCTTTAGCTCTTTCCAGAAACATGGGTCATCTGAGCCACGTGGACACTTCTGTCGAAGCGGGGGTCTCAAACCTTCTGGAATTGACGTCGTCTGGGTCTAACCCTCCAGGTAAAATTGAATCTTAGATACAGATATGCGCTCAGTGGTAAAATCTACATCGGGATGAGCTGTTTCTAATAAAGTGTAAAAATGTGGTGGAATATGTTCACAAAAAAAAACTGATAATAGTTACTCTCTCTTGTTATCGGCTGACATAAGAGCGATCGTCAGTTCGAACCATTGGATAGTCGGCAACCGAAATTCACCCAGTAGAAAATAGCAGTCATCTCATCGGATGGTGGAATCCTATAATAAGCGGAAGCCCTAAAGCTTGAATATACAACGCCTGTAAACGTGCGAAACTCATATCCATTTAGTTAGAAATCGAAAAGGTGGAGACGCCCGGAAACGCTCAAGCCTGCCACTGGGCCAACAATGTGTAAATCGTCCCTCAGCCGTTCTTATTTTTAGGTTCGTTTTTTGGCCACATCCGGGATTTCCGCGAGATAGTTTCTTTGAAGAGAGAAGAAGTAAAACCACATATGTGAACAGATCACATGGTGACGCTAAGCTAGCCAGATATATCCACCTGAGTGACTTATTCAAGTGATGACAGACAGCGTTTGTACAATGTTAGCGGTACTGCTAACAAATGAAACCCACAAGGTCATTTGTGCTGAAAGTGTCAATTTGGCCAACGTCTGCTACTGAAAAATAACCTCTTGGGTACCGACAGTTCAATGCTTCATCCGAAGCTTCTGTTGTCGAGGATATGCAGGTATAAATTGCCATTCCAAATCCTAATCAACTTACGAAAGGGCCCTGCGCTGAATTACATCACAAATTGGACAGTATTAATGTGGAACTTTGGGTGCTTAGCAGACTATTTACTCCTGCCAATTTTGAGTCAATGGAAGCATCAGAATTTCAATTTGAAGATGTATAATGAGAATGAAATATTCGGCACGAAATAAGAGACCCTTAAAATTAGATGACGGTATGGTCATTCCATTGGAACTAACATTTGCTAATGCCAGGGACATCTTAATATTGCTAACGGATCATCCATACTTTGCCAAGCTCATCATTGTAGACAGCACCGACGATGCAAGTTGGTATGCCATTGTCTGAAATAAGGAGGCCACCTTGATGACCATTAAGTGGTAAGTTGAATGCAAAAATGAATGCCTTGGCTGTTTGTGTCATCACAAAACTCATCTCTGATTTTCTATGGTTAATTCTGATTTATTTGTCGTCATGTTAAGTTGGTCATATACAGGCATGGATAAGATGAGTGCAGAATAAGCACGTGGTTTTTTGGATAGGCAGCGAATGAATGTTAGATTGGAAACATCATTAGGCAAATGCGAACAAAACTGAAATCAATTCGGGGGTCATATCGTTACAAGGGCGTAGGACTGTGTAACGTGGTGTTATTTGGTTATTAAGATATTAGAAATAGGTAGAAGGGTTCTAACAAAATTTCATTTAGTATGGTAGACCAGACTTATCCAAAAGTAAATGCAAGTCATTCGGGCATTTGCGACAACCTCCTCCATAAGCGGCGATCATCCTTGTGAACCTGGCGAATTGAAGAATTTATTCATTTGTCATAAAAATTATAGAAAAACAATTTTGTTTGTTCGAAAGGGGCATTCAAGAAAAGTAATGTGTGATACTCGACAAGCCGTGATCAATTCACAAGGGATTTCTTGAAATACCAATATACTTGATTCACCAAACTCAGGATATAGATTGAAAAATATTGATTAGGAACACAAAAAACTCAATGAATTAAAGAATCAGACGGGCGCCAAAAGACTCTCGTTTGTATTACCCTTGAGTAATGCAGTAGCTATCTCAGAACTGAATCCGATCTGCACTCAGGGTATGAGGGTGGAGTTTTGTATTCAGTTAAAATTGTTTCCTGTATGAAAATATACTGTGATATCTCGAATATCGTGCCAACTGAATCACGAGGCGGTCTGTGTGCAGCACATTCATTTGGAGGACATCATAAACGAGAGATTCTATTGCGTCTCCCGTGAAAACCAAATTGATTTGCAAATGAGTGTATTTATGGAATACACATTGTAACAGAAGTTTAAGTGCTTATGGGATTGCATGGGATCTTAAAAGCTCACTTTGGATCTTCGGTCATGGTGTCAGCGCAGCAGCTTTGTCATTTAACTTTTTGGCCTCAAGGCATCGTAAATAATGCCTTTTGATTCCTTCAATCGATTTTATCATTCTAGCTTACCGAACCCTACGTAGTACATTTTGCTTGAGTTTACACCGTAACAGGCAGCAAATTTCATACACCATTGCTTGTAGTGTGAAGAGAATTTGGAATTTTCCAAATGAGATTTCATCTTGTAAGCGAAGGCAGTCTGTGCCAAAAGGCCGAGATACTGTTTCATCCTTGGTATGAATCATCAACGGTGCATATCTAACGGAACTTTAGAGGATTCCGGAGCCGCGACCTCCCGGCTAGTGGATTCCACATCTAAATATCGGCCACGAGGGGCTGACCAGAAATGTGATTAATTCGAAGTCTGACAGTACATAGCTCCAACTTTCTGCAATTCTGAAATCCAAACCATATGGTCACGTTTGACGGGCTCCTTGGGTGACGAATTCTCTGATGAAAGGTTCAAGCGCTTCATAAATCAGTCTCCCTGTAAGCTACTGATGGATTGTTTGTAGTGTGAGGAGTTGTGATTTTTCGATGGAGATCTTCAGTACGTGTTTCTCCTACCCCACCTAGAATATCTGGATACCTGTGTTGTCTCCATTGCTCATTTGGATCGATGTGGTGACTAAACCTTGACTATAAAGGATGTTGTTCGGTTGCTAAGACAGGCATCGGCATGGTCTCACCATCTGGAATATTCTTACGGACAGTGCACATAATGGGCAGCGGCTAATTTGAACGGCCCCGAAAACATAACGTAAAGGCGTATGAACAGTACTAGTTTAAAATCTTGTGTTATACCTGATCGGTGTGGTATCTGGCTGCAATTTTATCATTAATTATCAAATGTGGTTGGGTTGGACAGGACAAAGCCGTGCAAAAGGGGCTTCTGATTGTCGATCGGGTTTGCTTTAAAGCTCGTAATTTGAAAGTATTTGCTGGTTGTCATGACAGCAAACGGCAGTGTTTTGTGAATCGTCCGGATACCCATCACTTCACGCATCCGATCTAGATGTGCGTTCGAAATGTCCACGGTGTACGTGCCCCTGGAAGTATTTCAAGAACCCATTAATTCCCGCAGAAACGCGATAAGCCAGCTTACCTAGTAAAAGACGTGTGTCGGCAAAAACATGGTTGGAAGAAACATGGCTCCACATTTACTCGGACGTTAGCGTGTTTTATCAGTACTCACATTCTTTGGTAGTATTTGTAATGATCAGATCAATTTTCTCGGATAATTTTCTCATCTGAACCGTCTGACTCTGTACGAGGTGCTCCAGCTTTTGTAATCTGAAAAATAGTGTAAGAACTGGCATAAAAAAGACTTTGACCGTATTCTTATGTAAAAGTAAAAATATGTCAGAAGAATCTTGATGATAAATGATTTGGGAATTTACCTGGTTTTCCTTGGTTCGGGCTACAACAACCTACAACCCTAAACTAGTTGTGATTTAGTAGTAAGATGTCAAGCTAAGCAATACTACGTCTGTGGCGGAATGACGAAGTTCCGTCAAATGGGATCTTGGGTCACCTGAACTCTAATTAACTTTCCCACAATGTCCTAAGGATCTTTCAGTGGAGCACACGTAGTCAAACTGGTATCCGTATCCAAATAAGCTACTGGAATAATTGTGTATACTACTGATGAAGCATGCAAATAGCTGATTGTGTGGTGTCCAGGCTCCGACTCCGTGTCTGAAGGTAATTGAAGTTTGCTGTGAAAATTACGAACCCCTTTGTAGTCTTCGTTTACAATACTCAAAAAACGTCCAGGAAAATTCAGTAGGTCGTTTGAGAACGTTCCCTTTTCAAAAACTGTGCATCTGAGGCGCTTACTTTCGTTTTTAATAGCTTGTTACCACTTAGTTCATTTATGCTAATACATGACGTCGAAGCGGAGGACCTTTCTCCTTCTACTGGTACCGTTTTGCTTGTTCCTGCTTCATGAAGTTAAACAACACCAGGGGTTCAGGCAGTGTGAGTGCTCAACTATACGTCGTCTAGAAGTTGTGCCGGGCGAACAAAGTCAGTGACACAATAAGAAGAGGATTGCTTCAGTAAATTCTCCAACCATCTTGATGCTGTACAATAGGCACGATACGCAATGTAGCAACTTGATCCCACCAAAGCACCATTTTAGGTACGCCTAATGCCTTAAGTAGACACAAAAGAGAGGAAAGAACGCAGCACAAATGTAAGGAACTTTCTTCAGATTTTTTCTTCATGTGCAGTAGGCCAACAAAATGTACACTCAGGATGAAAGTGGCCCAATGAGGCTTTCATTATTGCGGAGAACTCCGCAACGGACCATGGGTCTCGGATTGCGGCAGCTTTCCTGATTAGATCCACATTAAAAGGATCAAGCTGATGCTTGTAACGGGTGATCCTTTCTGAGGATAGTCTATTCAGGGGGAAATAACTGTCAAAAAGTATCGAAAAATGATTGAATGGTGTTATTCCGCTGCAAACTGCGTTACTGTCTTGTAATGGAACGGCAACTGTCAGAGTAACGTGTCACTAATATATCCATTTCATTCTAGAGAACAAACGCTTTTGTAAGCAGCACAAGGGCGGAAGAATGAACAAACCTTTTCTCTACAGGATTTTCAGCCATCTGTGGTTCAAAATTATGAGAATGGTGTGCCTGAGAGTTGTGCTGGAAAATAAACAAAGCATTTGTGTCAGACCAGAGCTGATGAAGAGAGATAATGAAGTGGCTTATTTGGTCATCATTTTCAGTCATATTAATATAAACAAAACTGTGAAGTCTATGTAAATCAGTCGAACTAATACCAGGAGAGGGAAGTTTGATTGTTTTACCTGCGACCTTTCAATGGGTTCAGCGGTTTGGCAAGTTCAGATTGTATATTCTTCCTAAACAGACTGTTCCATGAAACTAGGAAATCTTGTCTTTGTTGCCCTTTGTTGTCCTTCTTTCGGAAAGGGCGCGCACACATGAGTGATGCGGCGAAGTTTGAGTTGTAAAACATATTTTCAGTGTTGGCGGAATAAGACAGGGCTATTAGTAGCTCGCACCAAACTGCTTGACTTGTTACTAGACAAGATTGCTTTTGATGTGTCTTTGTTCCTACCTGCAGGAACACACCAGTTATGACATCCTCTTAAAACGTTTCTAACCGACACTACAATAATCCATTAGGTTACGCGAACCAGTAGAAACACGACTTCCAATGGATGGACACTAGAGCACTGAACCTCTACGGTTTGCATTAAATTAAACATGTCTAATAAAAACCTATGCAATATAGGGCAGAAAACAATAAACTGGCTGACCTGGGACAGCCGCTTCAGCCATTTGTACCAAAAAGAACCAAATCAGTCACTAAGGAAACACGGTCGATATACACTAGTAGTGTGTAGGCAGGTTTTACTTTATCACCAGTTAGGCCAAATTCCATCTTTTGTGACATTCATTTGAACAATTTAGGAAATTCACCTTCATACTTTGCGGTTTGTTGCAGTTAAGTGAAAATGGGCTAGTATGGGCCACCTGTAAACTGTGTTGGTGCAGCGTCAGTGTACTGTTTGGATGTTCACGCCGAATCCGGGAGGAATAAGTACATTTTCGAATTAAGCCCGATCTGTCGATCACACTCGTTCAGGAGGCTAAATTTTCTAGCGTTCTATCACAACAGACACGTTACACTATTCACGTAGTAGCCATAAATCGTCACATTAGCGAATGGTTAATCTCCTTACCATCCCACACAAGGAAGAAATCGTTCAACAATCAGATTAGCAAATACGGCATGCACACATTCGTTTCACTTGACTTAATCGCTCAGCTGATAACAACTCCAATGTCTATGATGGTTTTACTCAATAATAAAAGAGGATTGAGGAGGACAACCATTTCTGACCTAGCTTTTTATTCCGAATGCTGATTGAATCAAGCAACTTCAACATTAGACTTCGACTATGGTTAAAACCTCACAATTCTAAAACTTTGGTAGGAGAAGAAAGAAATCACAATTTTTCCAAGCCAGTTACTAGTTTTGGAGAATCATGGACCTATATAGACCGTACTGACCGAAAAACTGTTACTGATCACTGATTGGATTAAGTACCAAAATTTCCTAACTGTCAACTGCTCTAGGGTGCAGCAACAGCAGCGAGAGAATTTCTGACCTGCCGTGCATTGTGAGCCGCATAGATTTGTCAAGTTACCTTGCGGACAACATTCTTGTGTCTGGAGAACCAACCGCCTCGGCGGCGTTTGCTTGCCCGGTTGAGGTCTATCGTCAACACACCAACTTAGATTTCATCTTATTGAAGAGCTGTTACTAAAAAATGGGACCAATTTAACACAATCTGTGAAGTATGCGGTCCATCCAGAAATAAAGCGACCAACCCTAGCTAGATGATCAAGCGTTTCAGAATTGGCAATGCTAACAAATCATATCCATTTTAGAGGACAGCTTTAACAAGAAAGAATGCAATTTCACTGTGCGGCGTGAGTGTTCTCTTATATATTCTCTTATACACTCACCCAGCTAAATTGGGTTCACCTGTGTATTGGCTATCCTTACAACCAAACAAGACGCAGCAAGAAGTTAAAAACTTCGTGGGGCCAAAATCTCTTTTGTTTTTATCAGATATGGACGAAAAACAAACACCGTAATAGAGGAAAGAACGCTCATCATCATCACCGTTGTCAGTTGTAATTACCGCGTACTTATCGCACAGTGGTTGTAGCTGCCACAGTTTCGTTCACCGATGCTTCTGCGCATTGAAGGCAGAAGCTGATCAATTAGTGCTTAAATACAACACTGTATGTGGACTGCTAAGTGGAGGATTGAGAGAAAGCTATGTATTGAATGCGACAGCTTTGATGCACAAACGCCATTGAGAGCTCGACCGGGCCATGTCTGAGAATATTTCTAACCATTGATATGGCTCGTCTCAGGGTCCCCATCCAGGAAGACGGCAATGATCAGTGTAGCTGAGTTTGGTGGTAATGGTTTTTACACTTCGTTGCCGTTATTGTTTGACCGCATCTGTCTCTCTTCCACCCTTTGCGTGGGTGTGCGGAAAGAGTCCTTCGAGGAAGTCGGTCGGCTGGCATACGCAGCACGTGGCCAAACCAGCGCAACCTATGCAGTGTGATCAGTTCATCTATCGAGGGTGAGTTATTTCACCCGAATACCATTCGACTTCAGCATTTCCGATCCGGTATTCCCACCATATTCGGGCAATGCTCTGAAGGCATCGATGGTCAAACACTGAAAGTCTTTTGACGCTCACTAACACGCAAGAGCTACGGATGACACTGGGAGGACAGTGGTTTCGGGTCAACAGCTCTTGCTTACACAAGGATTTGAGTACTAGCTTTACGTCGCGAAGGACTCAACAGGGTTAGTGAATAAAGCGAAGGCACATGTTTTATATAAAAAGGGCCACCTCAAGAATTTTATAGGGTATTCTTCAAAATTCATTGGAAGGCACACTATTATTAACCCATAGTATTAGAGAAACTGGTTTGGTTGTTGAGAATTTACACTCCAATCGGTCTGAAAACAAACAAAACGCAATCAGGGCAAATGTTAAAATGGCTGCTGTGGATTCGTTTATGTGGAAATCAATTCTAACAAATACACACTAGAAATCAGAGCAGAATATAAGGGTATAATCCCTCACGAAAGAGAATGCAAAATGTTGTGAAGTGTAGAAACTCAGTGACACTGTTTTCAAACTGGATGAATTAACCGTCCTCCTCAAGAGCCGATTGCTGATTCACATCAAAATCAGTCATCCAAAAAGGGTTTCGACAAAAACAAACCTTCGTTTGAGATTCGACCCAGGAAACGCTACTTTTGAATATCTTGTGCCGGAGTTTCCTTGGGAACTTCGATTCCAAGTCTGCCAACCAGTAAATTTGTTGAATGATCAGTTTCTGACAGGCAGTCTTCCTGACTTCGTCAATATCACCAACAGCCAGACCAATCTGTTAGGGAAGGGGGACGTACTAGGTTGAACATAAGTGACTAATATTTCTTACACTTAGGTCGGCTAGAAAAATAACGTAAACTGGATAAAATTGATACAGCCTGGATATATTGCCTCTCACTTCTTACAAGCACCAACCCACCTGTTACTAAAGCTGATGTGTCAAACATTCAAACAATAAACTTTGAATTTTCACAGATAATTAGTTCGATTAGTAAATTGTTAATGGGAGCGGATTTCATGGACCAGACTTATTGAGTGGCCTGTAGTGGAAATCTTTTCACTAGGTTGGGCGCAGACGAACCCAAAGACAAGTTTGTAGTAAGAATTACTGCAATATTCGTTGTGATCAACGTGAAAAAATAAGTCTTTTATTAATGAACATAAGCCTACTGGCACAAACATTCAACGTCGTTACACACGAACCACCTTTTTAGCTCAATTAATAATCCATAAATCTTTAAGCGTGTTGTCGTATTCTGATGTATAAATCTTGATTAGTACGTTTATTTACTGAGACGGAGTCTGTGTTGGGTAAACTGTTTAAATTCTAACTCTGATTTTTGTCGGGGTCTGGAGCGCGCCACATATTTCTAGATTCACCGACATTAGTAGTCACCTACAGGTGCTCATTCAGTCTCATCCCACTTTCTCGCCTATTCGGGGGAACGCAGAGACGTTGTTCGACACTCCCTGTTTTTACTTTACCGCACAGTCCGTCTGACGTTTAGTGAGAAAGTCATAGCTTTTTTCATTCAATTATTGTTCGAACGATATTGGTGGATGTCATTTTCCATAATAAGCATCCGAGAAATTTCGAGCTTTAACGTTTTCGCAATTCAATGGACTGTTTTTTTAAATTTTAGCGCCTTCTAAGCAGTGATGTAACTTAACCTGAATGTTTTGTTATTTGCACAATTCAGACGAGCATTCTCATATGTTTGAGGAGTGCCTATACTTGGTGGAAGTCTCAAGTTTCTGTTTAACCATCCAGCGCTAGCTGTCACTGTTGACCATACGATTACAAAGAAAAATTACATACAAAAACATCTAGAACCAGCGCTGTACTGGTATGCGAGGCGTTTGACCCAAAGCATACGTCTTAATGTGGTATATCTTCATACTTCCCAGGGACAGTGCGTTCTCGGTGCTCCAGGTAGCTTAAGCTTTAACTGGGTTACTGATCACGAAAGTGGTTTCGACAGGGAAGTATGTTTCGTAGAAAAGGACCAATCCTAACAATTTTAATGGTGATCTGGACAAATAAATTGAAGTCGCTGATGTATAGATCTTTGAAAGAGGAGTTTTATAAAAAAAAGCTTAATATTACTTGCAACCAGCTACCGCCACATGCAGGACCAACCGACATGTCTGTTCTGTGTGAGTGAGATTTTTTGAAATGTGGCAAACGCTACACCGTTTAATTGAAAAGTGTTCCATTGCTGTTAGTTCATTCAAAGTTATGTTGTTATCCTGTCGGTATATATGCTTTGTTATCGTTCTCTTCACTGATGACAAGCCTAAACAACACTAAACTGAATGAACGTGCTCGGTTTTTGTGGAGATTTCGTCCTGTAAGTGAAGCCAATCTATGCTGAAATGCACTGTACAGCTGTTTAATCCTTACCGGAAACCATCAGCAGCGCGCATCTCACAAAATTCCGAAGAGCCTCGAACACCCGACCTCCCGGCTAGTAGTTTGAACGCTTAACCGTCCGGCCACGAGTGGCTTATCAGCAGTGTGATAGCGCCGCTTATCCTTCAATTTTTGTAGCCGAGCGAACTTCAATTGGAAATTGCCTGTAATTTATCTCCTTATTTTTTCATCAGTAGAAGCTGATGCAAAACCAAGCATTTGCTACTGGTCGGCAAATAACGTACTCTGGGGCACCCGCTGAAAGACCATTTGGTTGAGACAAGACAAGCTTGCGTAATCAAGTACCATTATGAAGAATGCTTCTTATAAAAGTATAGAAAACATCTGTGGAATGTTAGTATCCGGTGGATTGAGGTGCGGACTATCAACCTTAATAGAATAACGGGAGTGTTATGACGAGGGAACAAAATTGTCCCAGGTTCAACAATCGGTAGTATGTAGTGATGTACTTTATTAAATACTCGCAGTTTTCGAGGTGGTTGCATCCAGAACAACAGAAAGACAGGTAATAGGAGCTTGACTAAGGCGTTTTAGGAAGAACGTGAGATTTCCAGGATGATATATGACTCACCAATAGATTCATCAGTATTATTGGCACGAGTAAAAGAAAGGCGATGTAGAAAATAAAAACCAGCGCGGCGCCGATGGTAGCCTCTTCGGTGGAGCCAAATAAAGGATAAATCAGCGTTCGTGAATGCTCGTATTCACCAAACATCATCATGATTGTCTTGAAAATTGAAATGCCCAGGTAGTCAAACTGTTCCCGTTCGCTGAGTTGAAATTCCCTAGATGGAATCCATGTTTTCGTGTGATGGCTGATATTGTCGTACAAACTGCTCAACAATTCACGGCGCAACTAAGTCAGAAAATGAAAGACAGTGCCTATGTCTGTTACAATTTCATCCATATAGTTGTGTGAACAATGAAGAACAGGTTGTTTTGCATGCTTGCGTGATAATGGTTTGGTAGAAAAATAGGTTACCAGTTGATCGGACACATTTTAGACACGGTTGCGAGCTTAGTTATTAGGCGCATTTTCCACTGTTCTCTAGTTGTTACTAGATGGTGCCCTCAAATTTAGGTCTTCATTGTTTGAATTGTGATATTTGTCGGACAGTAGGCCCATAAGATCGCTTCTCTATACTGCAGCGTTTAGATTGGCCACGTACCTGTATAAACCGCTGTGTGCCAACGGGAAGCGCCCTCCCTGTAATCTGTTGATGTGCTACTTCATTTTTCAGAAATGTTTGATTTAGGTACGCTACCAAATAAAAAGCAAGATAAAAGCAAGCCTTTGGGATAGTATCCCCGTTGGACGCACCCGATAATCTGGTTCTCGCAATAGGACATGGAAGACGAAGCCGAATCCGATAACCACGACGGAAAATACCAAGAGACATTGGATTACCGTGGTAAAGACTTGGAGGAACATGACGATGAAGATGCCCAAATATTTAACCCTGTGAACGAAAATAAATGAGCTGGTGTTGTAAGCAAATAGAGAGGATATATTGCATTGTGATGTGTTTTCAAACCTATGCCGTCTTCTCTTTTGGTCTCACATTCTAGCGAGGAACTTTTGGCAAAAACAATAATGCTTGTTATGTTCAGTATGCGTACATCAATAGAAAAAGACGCAATATACATTAAAATAATAATCTGTAGTTGCCTGTTCGAATCTTCCATGGATTAGTCATGCGAGCCGTTGGTTGTACACATCCGACCACACCCTATGTGACGCACCAGGTTTACGAACTTCACCCACATCATATGAAGTTATACTCATGCTCGCGTAATTATCAAGCACCAATGGACACCCCTCTTCACAGTTCACACAATCAATCGGCACGAAACTCGGCCCAAACACACACTCGTGTGCGCAGGACGGGAAGTCAACCGAGCTTCAAAAGTCACCACGGACAACTACGAAACACATGTAACAGCCGTACTGCAGAGAAGACACGTTCCATCGTCCGGAGACCAAAGAACTCTCACGGTGAGTTATTCTGTAAACTTGCCCCACCTTTCGGTTTGCATTGCAAATCATCACCGTAAATCACTGTCAACCATACCTTCTGAGTTATGTTATGGCGATCACAACCTGTGCACCAACCCCTCTCAGTATTACCAAAAGCTTTCTTTTCCGTTTAAAACTATTCGGCATTCTTTCTACGTATCTGGTAACGTCGTTTCGAACTTCTGGGGTGTCTTCTTATCTTGTCTACTATTGTGCCAGTTTGGAACATGGATTTTTATATATTTTAGGCCCGACAGTGTATGTGACTGGTTTTTTCCGTGCTATAATGTGATCCTGATTTACACGGTACTGTTAGTCGAAGATTGGATGCCAAGATGCTCGACTGAATCTTTTGAGGTTTCCAAGTTTGTTTGCTTATAAATTCGCAAGTTAAAATACATACATCCAACGGGAAACTATTGCATCGAAAACCCAGTCATACTCAGTAGAATATACATTAATGTTCATTAGCATCGTTTTTGCAGTACATGGTTGAGCTGCACGGGATACTCCACCTGATGTTTTACAGAATCGTTCTCACATAGCCTCACGCAGTTGGAATTATTACAATCGGGGGCAATAGGAATTTCTCGAAATGTGGGTGTGCCTATTGATTTTTTCGAGATTCCACTTGGACTGAGTTAAAAGATCCAAATACTACTGTCATCTGCTTAACTGAATCATGGCATAAAACACATGAAATACCATAGCAGGTACTGAAATGCAGGTTTCTCCTCTTGAGATTAGAACAAGATCTATCGACTCTGAGTTGAAGTAAAAAGCCCATCGCTTTCCTCGGTTTTGGAAGGTGACATTTTGGATACGTGAGGTATACAAATAAGCCAGCCTTCTGTGTAAGTTGAAGGGAAGTCAAAGTAGTTTTTAAACCAAGGTTGCGAACGTTGCCAACGAACTCAATAAATCATCAGTCAGGTTGAAAAGCACTGGATGGTTTAAAAATGGCTCGAAACCTTAGAATGCTACGATGGAATAACGGGAGCAGAACTCTTTTACTCGACAAAAAAGGTTACCATTAAATGGCAAATTCCTCAACCGCAGATGCACTGAAGTTGAAAGTTCAGCAAGGAGGAAACACTAACATCAAGGAAGCAAGTTATTAGTGAGTTTTACGTTTCCGCTCTTGTATGGTTTCGCAATTGACGTTCTACTCATCATGAGGCAAACCTGCTGACTGACAGCAAATTGGCAACTGGTGATATGTTAACAGTCTGCTCAGTTTTGTCTGTCATCGACGTGAAAAACATTTGTAAGTGCCACAGTAAAATCAGTGATGTAACACAAATAGTTATTTGCGTAAGTTCATTACGACTGTAAACATGCGATTTAGTCAGTATCTTTGGTGTACAGTGCTCCGGCTAGTTGATGGCACCCAATAACGCCTTAGTAAATGCCATTATTTGGTGATTTCGACCAGTCAGCCTGATAATGCTTGTGATGGGAGCCAGGGAGTGACCTAACACAACCAGGCATTTCGCCGCGAATCCTAGTGGTTTCGAATATTACAGATTCAAGGCCTTGCAAAATTGAATTTGTCTGGTATGGCTTCTTGTGAAAAACTCCCCCTGTAACATAAACTTACTTGGGTGTCGCTAAACTACCTGAAACCTATCACTTTAATGAAAGGATTGTATGATAGGAATTCAATTTTATCCTTGTCAACAAGCACCACACCGTCCCACAAATAAGAGTATTTGTTCTTGGTGCGTCAATTTCCAACTTACCAAAGTACCTCTTACTTGAAAACATTCACTATCCTAATGTCTAAAAAATTTTATTTCCACAGTGAAACTTAGTTTAGTGTGTGATGGCTAAATGACCACTTATGGTCATTTGCTTGTTCGTTCTCTCCAGCCAGTGGCTACGTTCCTGTCGTGAACAGTTTCACAAGCACTCCGCGGATCGCATGCTGCCAAGACGTGTTTTGTAGGCTCCGCCAATTCACCTGCTGTCCGGAACATGAACTTGGTGAACTTGGGAAAACTTAGCTCTCTGTACATGTACTTTTCGTGTCTAGACTCTCCCCGACACAAGATGTAAGTGAACTACATGGAACTGTGTGAGCAGTGACATTTTCATTTCATTTTCACATTTAATTTTCGCCAAATTGCTGTTTGACGTACAAACAAAAGACGCGGTAATGGGTAAACTTACCGAGAAATCTGCATCATGAAATTGAACCATGATAATAGCATCAGAAATGCCCCCACTATTTTTCGGTTTGGCATTCTGCCACCGAGTGCTGCGTCAACGAAGAGCGCATTGGCAAGACCCAAGAGGAGCAGTTCCAGTGTATTTGACCAGTCATGAAAATATTCGAGCCTCTGCAATCCCGGAACAGGAGAGATACAAAAGGTGTTCTAGTCAACCACAGACACAAGTGAGAATGAAGACATATTTTATGTTGCTTAAATATCCCCATGGTTTGAACAAGAACCCGGTGATGAACATATTTTTTGGGATCTCGTCATCATATCAGTACCTATATAATGGATAAAATAGAAGCAAAAAATGTAACACAAAGCGAAAATTGGTTAGTGAACTGCAAAACGTGGAGACACGAACGACTGGTTTTCTGAGCCCCAACGTTACATCTAGCTGGATGTTGTGAGACAGTTTAGAGGACCGTTGAATGACCTGACCGGCTGATTCTTGTCACATGACTAAAGCAGACTCCGAGTTTGTACGAAACGGTTTTGACAGCACAGTACCAAGTTTCACAGATTTTTGGCAACTGCCTCAGCTGTAGTCAAGCGACGCCGTTGGATAGATACTCTCAGGCCATTGGGTGCACGGTAAATAACATGAAATGACTCACTCTGAATGACTACGTGCCTAGTGTCAATTAAGTGGGACGCAAACGAGGTTTTAAATAAACTGTAGAGTCTAATGATACTCCGGTAAAACAGATGATCACGTATTCTCTTCGAAAGCTGCCTTGTCGTGTTTATGAGCCAGGATATGTTCCCTCGCTCTAAGCATTTCAGGATTTTTGCTTGATGCGATTTTGTTGCTTCGCTAGGAGGATGCCTAAAGATCCTGACTATGCATCAACCGCATGTTATTTATGCCCAAATCATCACCACCTAAGATTTTGTCTGCGAATGCCAATGGCAGGCGAATACACTTGACCTACATAGTTGAAACGCGTATATATATATATATATATATATATATATATATATATA